AGCCATCTGGTATTACCCAGAAGCCACCCTGACTCTTGTGTTTCAAGATGACATGATTCAACCTTTTTTGTTGTTATATACCTGGATGACTGAGAAAACAAACCACTAAAACATGTTGATCGCTCCAAGCTGAAGACAGATCAGCTGCGACGTGTGTGTGCGTGTGCGCGCTGGATGACTTCATTTATTTTCTGGAGGTTTTATTTCCAAAAAGCATCAGTAAATCTGCAGGGAGTCACTGAACCTCCAACAGGACTGAACACATTTTCACTCTCCTGCATTGCATCTCCTTTCTTTAGCCACCAGCTGTAATATAAGCTTAAATGTTTGTACGGCAGGTGTGTGAGAAGACGGGCGAGCTGCTGCTCTGTGAGGGTCAGTGCTGCGGAGCCTTCCACCTGCCCTGCATCTCTTTGGCCGAAGCACCCAAAGGGAAGTTTGTCTGCCCGGAGTGTAAATCAGGTGCGTGTGCTAAACCAACCATGTGAACATCTCACATGAGTAACGACAGATTAGTACCTTTTTGTCTTCTGTATGTTTTTCAGCATCTTTCTCGTTCCACAATTTTTACGCTATTTCAACAAATCATCAAAACGTTCAGCTCTTTCAGGACAATCCTGCTGTGACTTTTGGTGTTGGTGCAACTTTAGCTTTTTGAAATATTTAGCCTTTTCTGCCATTTTTTTCCTCATAGAAAATGAATTGAGCTCATTTTACATCCTTCAGATCTTTAGATCTGTTTACAATCTTTTACTGCTCCTTTCACGTTTTGTTCTGTTTCAGCTTCTTTCAGCTTCCTTGTGCAAATTTAACCTTTTTTCAGCTAATTTCAGCTGGGTTTTTTGTTTTTTCCTGTTTTTGTGCTCCTTCCAGATTATTTCTAACTACAACATTTTTGTGCTTCTTCTAACTTCTTTCTGCCATTTTCACCTTGTTCCTTTCAACTTATTTCTGCAAGTTTCAGCTTTAGCTGCTATTTCAGCTACTATTTCAACTGTTTTATGCTAATTTTAGCATAGTCAGCTAATTCCACATTTCTTGCACTCATTTCAACTTTTTTCAACCTAATTCAGCAAAAATGTGCTCTCTCCACTTCTGGTAATTTAAGTTTCATTCTGCTTTTTTAGCTAATTTTCAGCTGGTTTTATGCTAATTTCAGCTTTTTTTTTTTAGATAAGTTCCATTTTTTTCGTGCTTAATTCTGCTTCTTTCAGCCTAATTGGGCAAACGTGTTCCTTCTGATTTTTTTCTGTTAATTTAAGCTTGTTCTACATTTCCAACTAGCTTTTTAGGATTTTTTTTAGCTAATTTCAGCTGTTTTCAGATTAATTCAATTTTTTTGTGGTAAATTCAGCTACTTTCAGCCTAATTAACTTATTTCTGTTAATTTCAGCTTTTTATGCTCCTTTCAGTTTATCTTTGCTAGTTTCAATCTTTTCTGCTATTTACACTAGCATTTAGCTGTTATTTGTTCTAAATTTAGCTTTTTCAGCTAATTCCATATTTTTTAGCTCATTTCAGCCCCTTCCATTTCCTTTTGGTAGTCTTTCTGGCTTTTTAGCTATTTTTCAGCAGGTTTTTGTTTTTTGTTTGTTGGTTTTTTTTTTGTGCTAATTTCAGCTTTTTTTAATTTAGCTAATGTCATTATTTTTGTGCTCATTTCTGCTTATTTAAACCTAATTAACCAAATATGTGCTCATTCTACCTTTTTCAGCTAATTAGGCCCGAGCAGCAAAGCGCTGCGAAGGCCTATTGTAATTGTGTCGTTTCTTATTAGGCCCGAGCAGCAAAGCGCTGCGAAGGCCTATTGTAATTGTGTCGTTTCTTATTAGGCCCGAGCAGCAAAGCGCTGCGAAGGCCTATTGTAATTGTGTCGTTTCTTATTATTATTAGGCCCGAGCAGCAAAGCGCTGCGAAGGCCTATTGTAATTGTGCTGTTTCTTATTAGGCCCGAGCAGCAAAGCGCTGCGAAGGCCTATTGTAATTGTGTCGTTTATTATTAGGCCCGAGCAGCAAAGCGCTGCGAAGGCCTATTGTAATTGTG